GTGCTCGTCCTGTTCTGCTTGTCACCGGCATCGTCGGCGTCCACGTAGCCGACCAGCTCCAGCGACTCAGGTCCACCGCCAAACTCCAGGGCGGTGTCACGCGTGTTGGCGAGGTAGGCGAGGCAGCGGTCGACCTCGCGCCAGTGCTGGTCGCTCCTCACCGTGAGGCCGCTCCCTAGCTTGCTGCAGGCGAAGGCGATGTCCGGCCTCGTCGTCGTCGCCGCGAACTGCAGCGAGCCGACCTTCTGCCGGTACTCCTCCTCCTGTCGCTCCTGTGCCTCCTCGTCGTCGAAGGTGAGCTCGGCGTAGGCGTCGACCGAGACCGGTGTCTTTGGAGTCCGTCCGCCCTGCTCCTCGTCGATGAAGCGCCTACGCAACTTGTGCTTCTTTTTTCTCTTCGCCGTATTTTTTCTTATTATTCTTTTTTTCTTCTTATTCTTTTGCGCCCTGCTGGTGCAGCCACAGCTTCCCCGCCGACCTGTCGCGCACGATCTCCAGCCCGAGGTACTTCTGCACCGGCGAGATCTCGCGCAGCTCGAAGGCGGCCTCCAGCAGCTCCTTCAGCAGCGCGGGGCTGCTGCTGGCGGCGAGCAGGTCGTCGACGTAGACCAGCACCCAGCAAGTCGCTTCGTCGTCGCCGACCTTGAAGTAGAGAGCCTCGTCGACCTGGCACCGACCAGCACGTCGTTGAGCGCCAAGTACCACAGCAGCGGCGACTGCTTCAGCCCGTACAGGCTCTTCAGCAGCTTGCACACCCGGCCGGTTCCGTCGTTGAAGTGGTCCGGCTTCGACATGTAGAGCACCCGGTCGAGCTTGCTCTGCAGAAAGGCGTTCTTCATGTCGAGCTGCATCAAGTTGAGGTTGAGCACGGCGACGATGCTGAGGAAGATCCTCAGCGTCACGTAGCTCCCCACCGGCGTGAACGTCTCGTCGTAGTCGGCGCCGTACACCTGCGTGAAGCCCTTCACGACCAGCCTAGCCTTCTCCCGCTCGACGGTGTCGTCGATGTTGTACTTCGTCGTCAGCACCCACCGGTTCTTCATGACATTCACTCCCGGCGGGCGTTCGACCAGCTCCCACGTGCCCATGGCGAGGAGACTACGGATCTCTTCCTCCATGGCGGCCTTCACTGCTGGACCCTTCCAGCTCGCCAGCGCCTCCTTCACCGTCATCGTCGAGATGTCCCAACGGTGGTCGGGGTCGGCCAGCATGTCGGGGTCGAGCTCCGGAAACTCCTCGTCCTCGTCGGCGTCGTCGTACAGGATGTCGTCGTCGTCCTCCACGTCATACACCGTGGTGAAGGCAGCGGGGATGAAGAAGTCGGGCGGCCTTCGAAGTCGACCAGACTTCCGGGGTTCAGGCGGAACCTCCACCATGTCACGGTCGGTGGACTGGTCGGCCACCTCCTGGTCGACCAGCTCCTCGTCGCCCAACTGCTCCCCTTCATCTTCACTGCCGTCCTCGTCGCCCTGCTGCACCTCGGTCGGCTTCCCGGTCGACTGCTCCCCTGTGGTCAGCTCCCCTGTCGACCGCCAGGTCGCCGACTGCTCCTGGGTCGACCTCGTGGCTGCCTGCTCCCCTGTCGGCTGCACCTCCTCGACCTGCTCCCCCCTTATCCAAGTCGACTGCACTCCCAGGTCGACCTGCTGCTTGTCGACCTGCTGCTCGTCGACTTGCCGCTCGTCCTGTCGGCCACCGGCGATGCCCTTGGTCGGCGCCACAGGCGACGTCCCACTGCTCCCCTCATCGCCGGAGGCCGACGACGGAGTCATCCACGCAGGTCGACGAGGGGAGGTGCAGGGGAGGGAAAGGAAGGGTGGTCGACCTCGGCGTCGTCCACGGCAAGCTCACCGACCTCGGCGAGTAGAGGGAGCGTTGCCGTCGAGGTATCCGTCGGCGTGGACACTAGCGTCCGCCCTGACACCGGCCCATGCGCCGACTTCCACTCCTCCAACGACAGGTCCTCGTAGAACACCACGTCCGACGTGGTGACCACCCGGTTGGCGGCAATGTCGAGGAGCTCCCATCCCTTGCTCGCCTCCGACACACCGAGGTGAAGGCCCCACTTGGCCTTTGGCTTCAGCTTCCCACCACGCTGCTGCTCGGGGACGAGGAACTGCGCCATGCAGCCCCACACGCGCGCCAGCGACAAGTCGGGCTTCGTCCCAGTCAGCAGCTGGTACGGCGTCGTCCCCGGCGTCGCCGATCGCTCCAGGCAGTTGCGGATCCAGACGGCCTGCCGCAGGGCGAGGTGCCACCAGTGGTGCTGCACGCCCATGTGCAGTAGCATCGTCCTCACCGACTCCACCACCGTCCGCATCTCCCGCTCCGCCATGCCGTTCTGCTGCGGGGTGTACGGGCAGGTCAGGTCGTGGACGATCCCCTTGCCGTCCACGAAGTCGGTGAACGTCTTCCCGAGGAACTCCCCACCTCGGTCCGAGCGCAGCATCAGCACCGACTTCTTCGTCTGCCTCTCCACCAGCACCAGCCACTTCTGGAACTCCAGCAGCACATCCGACTTCTTGGCGACCGGCCTCACCCACACGTAGCGGGACTTACGGTCCTTCAGCAGCAAGAAGTACAGGCTGCCATCCTTGGCAGCCACCCGGAATGGCCCGCACAAGTCGATGTGAACGACGGCTAGCACGTCGGCGGCGTCGGAGCCTTGGTCGGGGAAGGTGTGCCGCGCCAGCTTCCCGCCGACGCACGAGACACATGGTGAGTCGGCGCCCGTCGCCGACTTGAGGTCCAGCCCAATGGCGACCTCGTTCTTTGCCGAGCTCCTGATGGTGTCCATGCCGACGTGCGCAAGCCGAGCATGCATCCTGTCCGGCGTCGACTTCGTCTTGGAGACGATCGCCCGCAGGGCCACAACCTCCGGCGTGGGCGACGCCGACCTCGTGGAGCAGGGACGCAGGTCGGTGCAGAGGACTCGCCCGGAGTACGTCGCCCGACCAAGCACCTCTCCTGCTGCCGAGACGAGCAGCATCCCGTCGCCGTCCTCCCGAAACTTCACGCCATGCTCCTTCAGCTGGCCGGACGACAACAGGTTGGCCCGCACACCCGGGACGTACAACACGTCGGGGATGAGAACCTGCTTCCCGGCCTCGCCTTGCAAGGCGACCGTGCCCCGGCCTTGGACGTCTTGCAGCGCCCCATTGAAGCCACGCACGTGCTTCACGTCGCCGCTCGGCCCCAGGTCGACGAAGGCGTCCTTTGTCCCCATCAGGTGGTGGGAGCAGCCGCTGTCGAGCAGGACCACCGCCGGGTTAGCCTGCACAGCTGCCGCCACCGCCTGGAAGTCCTCGCCGGCCTCCGGCGCCAGCGAGACGGTCGGCTCCACGACGCCGACCAGAGAGCACGACGCCGACTTGTCGCCCTGCCCCTTGCCGCCAGCAGAGGAGTCGGCGTCCTTCGCCGAGGTCGACGACTTGGTCGACTGCTTCTCCTTGCGCGGCTGACTTCCTCCTCGACGAGGTCGACGACTGCCAGACCTCCCGCGGCCTCCCTTGTCGTCGTCGTCCGAGTCACTGCGGTCGGGGCACTCGAAGGAGAGGTGGTCGGGGTCGCCGCACAGCCAGCACTCCCGACGTCGACTTCCTCCTCCTCGGCCGTTGTCCTTGGTCGACTTCTTCTTGTCGACTTCCTTGGTCGACTTCGAGCCACTGCTACCACCGCCGCCAGACTGTCCGCGCTGCCCCGGTCGGCCTCCTTGCTTCGCCGGGGCGACGTAGTTCACCTGCGCCAAGAGCTCTTGGGATCGCTCGGCCTCCTGCATCGCCTCGTCCTGCAGGATGTACGAGGTCAACGTGTCCTCGTTGAGCGTCGCCCTCGTGCTCGGCGCCATCGACAGCCGCTTCAGCAGGTTGTAGCTGCTCGGAAGTCCCTGCATGACATGGGTGATGTACGACGCCGTCGAGTACTCCGCACCGGCCATCCTGATGGTGGCGAGAATTCGCCGGGCCCGGTTGCAGTAGTCGGTCGCCGTCTCCTGGTCGCCCATACGCAGGTGTGTCAGCTGCCCCTCCAGTTGGGCGATGAACAAGTCGTCGGTGACTTGGTAGGTCGACTCGATGAAATGCCTGTCAGACATTATACTTGTTGTATTTGTGTAGGCTGTAGTGGGTTAGCCTACAGGGGGGTCACAACATTAGGGTTTCATATTTGTACTCACAATCCTTGCTAGTTCATCATTCCAGTCTGTTATTACTGACATGGTTTCAGAGCAGGTCCTTCGCTAGGACCGTTCTTAGGGCCCACCGTTACCTACATACCTACCTACCTACCGTGCGCCTCGTGCGCCTACGCGCCCTCGTGCGCCTCCTACCTACCGCGCGCGCGCAGCCCGCCAGCCGCCCGCGCGCGACTCGACTTTTTTTTTTCGCGCGCGGTCGATTTCGCTGCGCGCGCCCCGCTAGCCGCACGCGCGCGGCTGTTTTCTTTACGCGCGGCCCCGCACGCTGCCCGCGCGCTGCCTGTGCGCCCGGCTGCACCCGCTCGCGCGCACCCCGCCGTGGCCCCGCAGGCCCGCAGCTCGCCGCCGCAGCTGCCGCACGCCCGTTGCCCGCAGCCGCCCGTCCGCCGACGCCGCTGCCGCCCGTGCACCGACGCCGCTGCCACCCGTGCGCTGCTGCCGCTGCTGCTTGCGCACCGCTCGCTGCTGCAGCTCCCCGTGCGCTGTCGGCGCTGCTGCCCGTGCGTCGAAGCCCGTCGCCTGCTCGCGCACGCCCCGCTGCCCGCGGCCGCTCGTACGCCCCTGCTTCCGCTGCTGCTTATGCACTGCTGCCTCCCGAGTGCCGCCGCTGCCTATGCGCCGCTGCTGCTAGTGCGCCGTCGCTGCTCCTACGCTGCCGCTGCCCGTGCGCTGCCGCTGCCCGTGCACCGCCGTTCCCCGTGCGCCGCTGCCGCCCGTGCGCTTTTGCAGCAGCCGCCCACGAGGCACTCGCTCTCACTGTTGGTTATTTTCTACCTACCGTACTACTGCTACTGCTACTGTCGCCATGGCTAGTCCGCCAGTTCTAGCTTTCGATGCCGAGGGCCGTCCAGTGAAGTTCGAAACCTGGCTAGATGACCTGCACCTGTTCCTACAGCTCACTGCCAAGGAAGATATCTCACTGTACGACCACGCCCTAGGCCATGCCACTGCCCCTGACTCGTCTGCTGACAGCACTCTGCGTTCTCAGTGGCAGACCCGTGATGCGCACGCTCGCTTTGCTATTCGCAACTCCCTGCCGCTAGACGAGCGCGAGCACTTCGGCCAGTGCAAGACTGCTAAGGACCTCTACACCGCTGTAGTTGCCCGCTACTCCTCACCCGCTTCTGCCACGCTAGGCCGCCTCACTCTCCCCTACCTGTTCCCTGACCTAGCCTCCTTTCACACTGTCGCAGACCTCATCACCCACCTTAAGACTAGTGAGGCCCGCTTTCGTGCTGCTATGCCTGCCGAGTTTCTCACTAGCAACCCCCCCCCGCTCTGGATCACTCTCTACCACATCGTCACCCGCCTCCCTGACTCTCTGCGCGCAGTCAGGGACCACTTCCTCTCTCGCTCCCCCACTGAGCTCACTGTTTCCCTCCTCGAGAAGGAACTGCTTGCAGCTGAGGCGAGCATCGTCGCTGTAGGCACCTCTCGTGGCGACCCCCGCACCCCGTTCTTTGAGGGGTGTTCCCCTTCCCCCCTCCTCCCCTCTGTCGCCTCTGCTGCTGCTGTCGACCTTCTTGGTGCTGAGAAGGTCGGGACCGCGTCTGCTTCGAGCGGGCGCCGCAGGAACAAGGGGGGCAGGGGTGGGGGTGGTGGCGGAGGAGGTGGGGGTGGAGGCGGTGGGAGTGGAGGCGCGGCTGGGGAGACTAGTGGCGGCAGTGGGGGAGGAGACAGCGGCGGTGGGAGTGGTGGTGGAGGCGGCAGCGGAGGCGGAGGTGGTCGTGGCGGCGGCAGGGGTGGAGGTGGCCGGGGCGGCGGCGGTGGGGGTGGTGGTCGTGGAGGCACTGGCGGAGGGCAGAGTCAGCAGCCCGCCCCGACGCTTCAGGCCGCCCGTGAGTGGTATGCGCAGCGTAGCGTTACCTGCACGTACGTCATTCGCACAGGTGACCGCAGCGGCCAGCAGTGTGGGAGGCCGCACCCCACGCAGCGCTGCTTCGCGCGCCTTAACGACGCGTGGCGCACTCAGTTTCCTGCTGCCACTGAGCTGCCGCGCTGGGCTGATCTGGAAAAGAGGGGTGTTGATATTTGGGCTTTAGACTTTGATGCTATTCTCACTGCCATGTATGCGATGTCTATTAGTGGAGAGGGTGCTCAGTACTTGCGTGTTCCGCCCGACCCGGGCATTCAGGCCAGTCCGGCTGCCGCTCTAGGTGCTAGTGCGTCTGCTCCCACAGGTCCTGGTGAGGCTGCAGCCCTAGGTGCTCGTGCGCCCGTGCCCCCTGGTACTGAGTCGACTGCAGCACTGCACACCTTCACACTGGACTCAGGTGCTTCTCGCTCCTTCTTTCGTGACCGCACTGTCCTTGAGCCACTCGCTCGGCCAGTTGCTGTCTCCCTGGCTGACCCCTCTGGGGGTCCGGTCATTGCGACCTCCTCCACTGTCCTTCCTTGTCCGGCGGTCCCGTCCGGCACACTGTCAGGTCTCTACCTCCCCTCGTTCTCTACGAACTTGGTGGCAGGTAGTGCGCTCCAGGACGGGGGTGTTCACCAGTTCACCCCTGCCTACGAGCGCGTGACACACTGCACGTGTGCCTTCGGGCCATGCACAAACGGGACCTTGTTGCTGGTCTTCCTAGGGTGCTCCCTCCCCTTCCCGACTCGCCTGCTCCTCCCTGTATTCCCTGCGTCTTCCTTGGCTTTGTCCCGGACGCCCCTGGCTGGCAGTTCTACCACCCCACCTCGCGTCGTGTCCTGGCCTCTCAGGACGTCACTTTTGACGAGTCCGTCCCCTACTACCGCCTCTTCCCCTACCGCACTGCCCCGCTCCCCCCCCCGCCTCTCTTCCTCGCTCCAGGTGCTGAGGTACCAGACCCCCTCCCCCCTCAGGGTGCCGCTCCCTCAGGTGTGTCCCAGGTAGACCCGGGTGAGCCTGTCGAGGTAGCTGTTGACTCTCGTCCTGCTAGGGGTGCTGAGCCTGGGGGTGCTGCGTCTGGGGGTGCTGAGCCTGGGGGTGCTGCGTCTGGGGGTGCTGAGCCTGGGAGTGCTGGGTCTGGGGGTGCGGAGCCTGGGGGTGCTGAGCCTGGAGGTGCGGAGCCTGGAGGTGCTGAGTCTGGGGGTGCTGAGCCTGGGGGTGCTGAGCCTGAGCGTGCTACACCTGGAGGAGCCCTCTCCTCCCAGCAGCTGCAGGAGAGGTACCTCGAGTACTGCCGCCTCCGGAGAGGTGCTCCTGGAGCTCGTCCCGGTACTTCCCCTCCTACCCAGGAGCTCCCCCCCATTCAGCAGATCCGCGAGTGGTACACACGCCGCTGCAGTCTTCGTAGTGGTGCTCCTGGTGCTGCGGACCCTGGGGGTGGCGCTGCTGCTGGTGCTGCGGACCCGCCTGGTGGAGCTGCTGCTGGTGCTGAGGACTCGGACGTTGGAGCTGCTGCTGGAGCTGAGGACCCGGGCGGTGGCGCTGCTGCTGGTGCTGAGGACCTGGACGTTGGAGCTGCTACTGGTGCTGAGGACCCGGGCGGTGGAGCTACTGCTGGTGCTGAGGACTCGGCCAGTGGAGCTGCTGCTGGAGCTGAGGACCCGAGCGGTGGCGCTGCTGCTACTGCTGAGGACCCGGGCGTTGGAGCTACTACTGGTGCTGAGGACCCGGCCGGTGGAGCTGCTGCTGGTGCTGTGGACCCGGACGCTGGAGCTCCTACTGGTACTGAGGACCCGGCCGCTGGAGTCTCTTCTGCTTCTGGAGACGCTGCGCGGCCGCGACCGTACTTCGTCCCGCTCCTTCAGCAGGTTCTTGGGCAGGCTCCTCCCCCTTGTCCTCCTCCCTCCGTAGAGTGTCCTCCGCCTGTCCAGCCTCAGTCACAGTTACTGCCTACCTCGCCTCTCCCGGCTCCCTCTCCTTACACTGGTCCCACAGGAGGTCTTACAGAGCGTCGTGAGCCTGAGTCTCGTCCTGTGTCGCCTGTTCGTCCTGCTCGCACTGGTAGTCGTGTCCGTCGTGAGCGTCCTCCTCCTGTCCCAGGCACTCACTACATGACTCTGCATCCCTCTACTGCTCCTCAGCGTGTCCCTCTACCGTCTCCCCCTGCGTCCTCTTTGCCTGACGTTCCGGACCCTGAGTCTGACCGGTATCGTGCTGAGCACCCTACTGTCACGCGTCTCCTTGCTACTGTTGTCACTGACCCTACCTTTGAGTCCTCGGCTGCGTCTGCTCTGGTCGCTGAGTTGGTTGACTTTGCTGCTGCCTGTCGTCTCGACTACGCTGCTAGCCTTGTTGCTGAGTCTGAGTCTGTCTGTCCTCCGTCCGTCGGGGGTGAGTGTGCTCTTGGCACGGACGTCCTTGAGGACAGACAGGAGGAGTTCCAGTGTCTTGCTGCTGCTTTGCCCCGTCTCGTGTCCTTGCTAGTTGCCCCTGAGGGAGACCCGGATGCACCAGACATCCCGACCCCGCGCACTTACGCTGAGGCGATGGCGGGTCCCTACTCCTCTCAGTGGCAGACAGCCATGGACGCCGAGATGGCTTCCTGGAAGTCCACAGGCACCTACGTAGACGAGGTTCCCCCTCCTGGGGCGAACATCGTCAGTGGCATGTGGATTTTCAGGGTGAAGCGGCCGCCGGGTTCTCCGCCTGTCTTCAAGGCGCGTTACGTGGCTCGAGGCTTCAGTCAGCGAGAGGGAGTTGACTTCTTCCAGACCTTCTCCCCCACCCCGAAGATGACTACTCTTCGGGTGCTGCTGCACATAGCCGCTCACCGCGACTACGAGCTTCACTCGCTTGACTTCAGCACTGCTTTCTTGCAGGGCAGCCTGCACGAGGAGATCTGGCTGCGCCGCCCACCTGGCTTCACTGGGTCGGTTCCTCCTGGTACCCAGTGGAGGCTTCAGCGGCCGGTCTACGGTCTCCGCCAGGCTCCGCGTGAGTGGCACGACACACTGAGGACTACACTTGCGGCTCTTGGGTTCGCGCCTTCTACAGCTGACCCGTCGCTTTTCCTGCGCACCGACACTTCGCTGCCGCCGTTCTACATCCTCGTGTATGTCGACGACTTGGTCTTTGCCACAGCTGACACTGCAGGACTCGCCCACGTGAAGTCGGAGCTGCAGAGGAGACACACGTGCACAGACCTGGGTGAGCTGACAAGCTATCTTGGCTTGCGGATCACCCGGGACAGAGCACGCCGCACCATCACCCTGACTCTGTCACACATGGTGCAGCAGGTTCTCCAGCGCTTCCGCTTCACGTACTCCTCGCCTCAGTCCACTCCTCTGCCTACCGGTCACTCGCTCTCAGCTCTGCCTTCGGATGAGTCCGTAGAGCCGAGTGGCCCGTATCCAGAGCTTGTGGGCTGCCTCATGTACCTGATGACCTGCACTCGACCTGACCTTGCATACCCTCTTAGCATCCTTGCACGCTATGTCGCTCCTGGCCGTCACAGGAAGGAGCACATGGATGCCGCTAAGAGGGTGTTGCGCTACTTGTGCAGTACGTCGGGCATGGGGCTAGTGCTTGGAGGGCGAGACCGAGTTGTTCTCACAGGGCACTCAGACGCTTCTTGGGCAGACGACCAGGCCACTCAGCGGTCGTCTCAGGGTTACACTTTCAGCCTTGGCTCTGGCTCAGTTTCTTGGCGCTCTACTCGCTCTTCTTCTGTTCTCGGCTCCAGTTGCGAGGCTGAGATCTACGCTACAGCCATGGCTGCCCAGGAGCTACGCTGGCTCACCTACCTGCTGACCGACCTCGGAGAGCGGCCTCGTTCTCCTCCAGTACTGTACGTCGACAACAAGGCTGCCATTGCCTTGTGTGAGGAGCACAGACTGGAGCACAGAACGAAGCACATCGCCCTGCGGTACTTCCTTGCTCGTGAGCTGCAGCAGCGCGGTCAGCTTTGTATTCGCTACGTGGCCACTGAGGCCAACACTGCTGATGTGTTCACCAAGGCGCTTCAGCCTCGTGACCATCAGCGCTTCTGCACTCTCCTAGGCCTTGTGCCTACTGGACCTCACTTACTTACCTCTTGACTTTGTTTGTACTGTGATCACTATATATATCTATATCTGCATGTTTACTCTTGCTAGGTTGTGATCACTGTATCTCTTGCTCTTTTATAAACCTGCATGTGAACTGGTCTTGTGACCACTAGCTTGTGCTCGGAATTTGTGTGGAATCCTTGAGATCCACCCTGAGCTTGTTGTTGTCTTGCTTTGCCTTGACTGGTCTTGTGACCCCTAGGTCTCCCCCACTTTGCCTATGGGGGTGTGTCAAACATTATACTTGTTGTATTTGTGTAGGCTGTAGTGGGTTAGCCTACAGGGGGGTCACAACATTAGGGTTTCATATTTGTACTCACAATCCTTGCTAGTTCATCATTCCAGTCTGTTATTACTGACAATGCCACGCCTGGTGGCCGGCGTCGAGGTACTCCCGGCACCACTTCAAGGCGATTTGCACGCCCGGCGAGCAGCACCGTGAGATGACCGTGAAGGTCAACAGCTGCACAGCGCGGAACTCCGCTCGCAAGTCGGGGTCGCTCGGCGTCGCCACGGTACCTCGAGCAAAGCTGATCAGCCCGGCCATCTCCAGCTGGGGCTCGATGGCCTCCTTCCAGGTGAGTATGTCGGGTCGACCGACCAGCGGGGGAGTCACCGAGATCCTATCCGGCGTGAACTTGAAGTAGCCGTAGCTCGGCGCAATTCCGCCCGCCGTCACCTGGGACGCCGACATCGGCGTCAACCCGCTTCGTCGACCTCCGACGTCGCCCTGCGAGGTGCCCGCAGCCGAGGTCGACCGCATCCCTCGCACCTGAACGCCGCCGACTTCATCGGCGTGTATCACACCTCTCTGCCTCGACGACGTGCCTCCCACACTGCTGCCGACTTGGTCGCCTCCGGCGTTGACACCCACGTCGACGCCGCCCTCGGTGTTCACCGGTCGAGGAGAAGCAGGCCGAGAAGGGTGCTCCGTCGCCCACAAGGAACGGATGCCAGCCTCGACGACCGCCCACGGCAGGTCGCCATACTCGTTGGCCTCGTGCTTCCTCCTTGCGTTTTCCAGCCGTGCCTCTAGGGTGTCCACCACCCCCGTGTCACCTACGGCGCCTACCATGGTGACCAGCGCACAGCTGCCGGCCTACGAACAACTTAGGTAAGGTGCAACTAAGTCGACTAGACTGAAAGGTAAGTCGTTGTGCCGTCCACGCTCACCGCACCATGCGGAGATAACTACTACAACGGGAGCTAGACTACGGGCTAGGCACGAGTGCTCATGTGATCTCTGCGTTCGTTGGTCCTTAGTCGTTTTCCTAGTGCACACACTGCTTGCTAGTTCACAAGGAGATTTGGCAAGAGTTTCACTAGAGAATGTTGACAATAATGTATCAAGTTGGCTAAGGAAGACTACATCAGAGCTAGGATGC